AGCTCTTTTTATATATAGTTCAAAAAGTCACCATCATAAGATTTCTCTTTCCCCCAAATCTCAATCGCCGGCGAACAAGCGCGAAACTACCAAAATCTATCGACCGGCATCAATCAACCGGCAATGGAGATGACGGAAGGATCAGTGATTCATCAAGTTCTCGTCAAATTCCTCGACGGAAAGCACAAAGCCCTAAATTTCACTACCCCATCCATCTCCACCCTAACCCTAAAGCACAAAATACAGAGCCTAACTTCAATTCCTTCTCACCTTCAGCTTCTACTCCCTTCCAATTCATTTTACCCTCTTCATGACCACCAAACCCTAAATCTCGCAAACGGTTTACCCGAAACCCGAAATATCGGATCGCCGGAAAATCTCACAAATTTGTCTGCGGAGAAGGGCAATTTTCCGGTTGTGGTGAATTTGTTGCTTCGGCTAAGGGGTGGTAAAGGAGGTTTCGGTTCATTGCTGAGAGGAGCGGCAACCAAGGCAGGGCAGAAGAAAACGAATAATTTTGACGCGTGTAGGGATATGAGTGGTAGAAGGTTGAGGCATGTGAATGCGGAAAAGAAGCTGGAAGAGTGGAGAGCAGAAGCAGAAGAGAGGAAATTGGAGAAGATGGCGGATGAGTTTCTTAAGAAGAATGCAAAGGAAGCTGCGAAGAAAGGTAAAAAGGGTGCTACTGGAAGTAACACGGATAAGTATGTGCAGAAGTATAGGGAGGATTCTGCTAAGTGTATGGAGGAAGTGGATAGGTCAGTTAGGGAGTCCCTTAAGGGATTCGTGTCATCTAAAAGGAAGGGGGTTGAACTCAATGAATCAGAGTCCAAAAAGCTCAAGATATGGTAAGCACTGTCACCTTTTTATTTCTTGCATTCCTTTTGCCCCTTTTTGTTTAAGAACAACTAATTTGTTTTGAAAAGCCTCAATTTTTAGTATTGGAATGAGGAATGGCTATTGAGGATTAGTATTGGAATGAGGAATGATCGTTGAGGATTTGTGGGTGACCCGACTAGTTTGTGGTTTAGGTTTGCTGTTGTTTTATGTTGAATTGAGTTTCTTTTTAGAAGCCATATCTTGGGTTGAAGTTGAACAATTGAATGTCATCTCTGTTCTTTTTAGTGAGTGAAATAGATTTCAGTTTAATGTGAGTGCATGGACTCCATGCTTTGTATTTTCCAAAATCAAGTAGTTTTGATAGGCAATACTCTTGTATAGTAGGTTCCTCTCTTTTTTACAAAGTTGTATTGCCTCAAAAGATACATTCGGCAACCATAGAACCTTGGTTAACAAGTGGAACACTCCGCTCGGATGTTGGGCAATCAAGGACGGAGAAGGGAAATGATCCATTATCAGCATTCTTAAGACCAAGTAGTTGGACAGAAAGGAGGGGAAGTTCTCCCTTCCTGGTTTTCCTGATTCTCTCTTTTTATAATTAAATTATAATTATATAATTATTTATTTACTTATTTGGTTAAAGGATGTTGGTTCTCCTGTAGTTGGATCATAAGAATCCTTAGTTAGAATGGGTTTGTGAATTTTCTATCTCTAATTTCCCTCGACCTATTATTTGCCTAATCAATTTGCTCTAAAAATAAGGTGGTGGAGTAGTCACTGTCCTGTTTTTATTATATATATTAAACAATCCAAAGGGGGAGACCTAATGGTCAATGAATGGTAGGAGAGCCATGATGTGTCTCTCAGGTTCAAATCTGCCTAAGCCATGTAAATTATATTAAACACTCATAACTGTACATGTTACCTGCCTGATAGAAAACCTTGTAAACTTTTGAATGATTAGATGATTGAATGCAAGTAGTAGAAATTATGTTTTCTTTGATGATTCTCCACTGTTTGCATAATTTTTGTACATAATCTATATGTTGAATTTTCTCATTTGTTCGATGAACTTATTATCTTATAAAAAAGGAATTATAACTTAAAGTTTGTGATTTTTGGTAGGAAGGGTAAGAGGATAATGGGCGATAGTGATAGCGAGGATCTAGATGATGATGATGACAGTGACGAAGAAGAGGAAGAGAAAGATAAATCCATTGTCATAGATAATGGGGGCAATTCAGACTCCAATGGAGAAGCAGAGGGAAGTTTGGATTCTGTGACTGGCAGAAAAGTTGATGGTGGTGCGTCTGAGAGTGGCTCCGAGGAAGAAAAGGATACTCTTCTTCTGAAGAATCTTGAATCTGGTAAAGATGTCAATGTAAATGCAGTTCACCATGAAGGTGAAAGTCTGTCCTCACTCACTCCAGACAGTCCAGAAAATACTGGGCAGAGTGTTGTTGCCTCTAGTGTTGGCACTGATATTGCATCTGCGATTGAAAGTATTCAAACAGAAAAAGAAGGTTCTGGTACTTCTGAGCCAATTGTTGTGGAGGCGAGCTCCGGTGTGAAAGAAGACAATGCTGTAGAACCCAGTAATAATCTAAGCCCTATATCAGAACCTCAGGAAGATGCAGTCTCAAAGGATTCAGACTTAGAAAAACCTTTGAATTTTGAGCAATTTAGTTCAGCGGCGGAACTGGAGGTATGCATTATCTCTGATATAGTATAGTTGATTTCCATTGCTTAGCACATGTGTCTTGTTCAATACGTATCATTAAAGCCTTCCTCTGCTTGCTGTAACAATTTGTTCTCAACTGGTTGTTAATCAAATTTAAGATTACAATGCTTCAACTTTTCTCTTTGGCTAATTCTACAACTTTCTATAACCCCCCACCCCACCCCCCTGCGTGTGTCCCTTTCAGCTGTGGATAGCTCAAAAGTTGCCAATGATTGTTACTTGTTTACATGGCCTTCCCTGTGAGATTAATAGCAGTTAATAAATATTTCTTTTGGGGTGTGTGGCCTAGTGGCTAAGTAGGAGAGTCCCAACACTTCTATATCCTGCAGGCTGCACTGCAGGTAAGCTTAACCTGTTTACAGTGAAATCCTTGAGAGGGTTAATAAACACCTCGTTTGTCATGGTCCATACTTTTTTTAATCATCTTTTAGCTAATGTCCGAGTTTAATTTGTTATTTTTCTTCTGTTACTTTGCATAGCTGATGGCACTGCTGCTTTTCTAATTTGTGTTTTTAATGTCGATTCAGTGATATCGCTTCAATGACTAGTATAAAACTCCTTTATGGCTTCAATGGGATGTTAACGTAATTGCTGGAAAATGATTCTGAAGAAAATTGCAGTAAAATAAAAATAAAAAAAAGGCAGGGAAGTCATTCTCTAGTATTCTTTGTTTGAAAAAAAATGGAGTTTAAACAATCTCAAAAAATAATAATTGGAGTTTAAATGAGAACAAGACCATTTCTTTTCCTTACATTTGCAGCACTATGGAGGAAATCTTTCCTGGGTGAAGTTTTTAAGCGCATTTCCAAACCCTTTATTTTTTACTAAATGCATCAAAAAGTGTGAATAATTTACTTTCTGGTACTTGGTTTTCCTTTTCCACACAATCAAATGGTACCTACGGGCTACGTGTCCTTGGTGCGAGTAAGTTTGTGTTTTAGGGGGAATAAGGTTGTGGGTCTTCTGTTTATTAGTCTTCCTTTCTTGTTGGAGCTCTGGGCCGTAGGGCATTACTTGGTTCATCTGCCACCGCTCTATGTCTACTCTTTGTCTCAGATAACAGTATGGAAGTTTGACATGAATATTTTTTTTTATATATATGCTATTTTAATTGGGACTATATACTATGATTTTTGCATTGATTGTTGTGTGGTCTCTATGTTTTCCTCGTCACCAGTAAGCTTGTGTTACTGTTCATTGGTGAATGCAGAAGTGTTTGTCACCAATAATTCCTAACTAAATGTACTTTGATTTGGTTGTGTTAGGTCCTCGGCATGGAGAGGTTAAAATCAGAACTTCAAGTGCGTGGGTTGAAGTGTGGAGGCACCCTGCAGGAACGTGCAGCCAGGCTTTTCTTACTCAAAACTACACCTCTGGAGATGCTTCCAAAGAAGTTGCTTGCTAAGAAGTAATTTTGTGCTCGTTTGTTTTGCTATTGTAGCTGGTTGTAATTGTAACCTCATGTTTTGAGTGTCAGCTTATTCTCTATTTGACTTACTATGTAGATATACGTGTGTATTTTTCTATAGATTTCAACAACTTCCAAGGACGAACAGCAGTAATTCACTTTTTTAGAGTGATAAAAGGTGACTGATGTTGATTTGGTTCCAATATTTCTGAATTCGTTGTTGTATCACTACGACTTGCTTGGTTCATCTTTTTAAAACGGAATCCACCTAGTAATGGTGTTTGAAATGAACCAAATCAAGAATCTTGGGAACTTACAGTTTCCTTTTGATTGCCTTCAGTTATACCCACAATCATGTTTTTCCATTTTAGAGCTTTTTCCCCTCAGTGTACCAATTCGTGTAGAAGTAAAAATTAAACTAGAAGCATGAAATCTAGTTTTATTCACAATCATGCTACAACAATATTTACCCGTCGAATGGAAAGCATAAATTAGAGAAAATGTTTCAACAAATCCAGATTTGGCATGGAGGGAACTAATTCACCTGTTGTTGGAGTTGGAACATTGGGATAGTTGGTTTCTCTGCTTGTCCTGTTACTTATCAAGATGAACATCCCATGATAGTCGAACGTTTCCATGAAAATGAGATAACAAGGAGAAGGTATAATTCTGAGAAGATGCCGAAAAAAGGTTTAAATGTAGAAGCTTTCTTGGAAGAAAATTAGAAGGTTTAAATGCAAACTTTGATTAGGTACAAAACTGCATAATTATTATCTTTTGATTGATTAACTTGATTATCCATATGATTAGCATGATCATTACACTTTTTAGTTCATGGGCCTCAATGTACTTTTTTCCTTCTTTAGCGGAAGAACTTGGCTAATAATAGGAAAACAAAGGGGTCCCTCAGCAAAAAATTCCAAAATAATTTTCCTATTATTTACATTTTCTATAAAAGCAATCAATGTCCATGTGTTGAACATAGAGAACAACAACTTGTGCTCCCTCCGCCATAGTGAATTAAACAAAGCCACGGTCTCCTATGCCCAGCTATCTCTATACGTGGCACTATCTCATTGGTTAAGCCACCTCGGTGCAAAAAAACAAAAAAATTATACACACAAAAAAGAAAGATTGTGCGCCCCACAAATCTCATCTGTTGAGAACTGTATTCCTTTCTTCAACTTCTAAAGAATTTTTCTGCGGAACTATACATACAGCTTTCTGTATATATAGATTCGTGAGTTCAACAACCCTAAAAATGGTGAAGTTGTAGAGAGAGAGAAAGTGAGCTACAGCTTGGCGATGTTGGAGAGGTGGTGCGGAAATCGAGGTAAAGATTCCCGTCTTTGTAACTTTAACCCGGACCCGATTCCCAACATTGACTGTGCGAGAAATGCCTACGTCACCTGAAGAAAACCCTAACCCTAAGGTTATGTCGGCGGCGGCGGCGAAGAAACGGCGGTCGAGCTTGTCGGATATATGGAATAACAAGGATACTCAGGCGTTGAAGCAATTGGTGCTTCAAATGCGAGCTCAATCGGTTTCTAATTCCACTACTCCACCGTCTGAGCCCGAATCTGATATTCAATCCCTAACCCTAGATGACCCGGAGCCGACCCGTTTTAGTTCTGGACCAGATTATACCGCCGTACTTTCTGATAAGTTGCTGTTAAGTGTGCTTTCGAAGCTTCCGGAACAGCAACATACTTCTAATTCATTAGTTTGTAAGCGTTGGTGTAAGTTTAGTGGGAAGTTGGTTAGGTCTATTAAGCTGTTAGATTGGGAATTTTTAGAATCTGGGAGGCTTAGTTATAGATTTCCGGGTTTAATTGACATTGACCTAGTCCGAGCATGTGTGAAATCCCGGAGGAATTCGGGAATTGTGATGAGTCATAGGCTCGTTTCGGTGCATTTGGATTCGAACTCTATTCATGGAGGGTTTGTTGGGAAAGAGGGCTTTTTGGCACAAGAGGTGGTTGATGGAGGGGTTAAGGTTTTAGTTGAGGGTTGTGCTAATTTAAGAAGAATACTATTGATGAATGCGAGTGTAGAGGGGCTGGGTTATTTGGGTGAAAAGTGTGAAACTTTACAGGAGTTGGAATTGCATTTCTCTGATGACTTTGCATTGAAGGGGTTATTTGGCTGTAGGAATTTGCAGATACTGAAATTGGTTGGTTGTATTGATGGACTATATAATTCCATGGTTTCAGATATAGGGTTGACCATTTTAGCTCAAGGGTGTCCGCGTTTACTGAAGCTTGAGCTGGTCGGATGTGAGGGAAGTTATGATGGGATCAAAGCAATTGGGCAGTGCTGTCAGATGCTTGAGGAATTGATACTTTGTGATCATAGGATGGATGGTGGGTGGTTGTCTGCTTTGTCATTTTGCAGCAACTTGAAAACTTTGAAGCTTCAGTGTTGTAAGGTTCTAGATTCAAGTCCTGGCCCTGATGAACACTTGGGTTCTTGTTCTACTCTCGAGGAGCTACATTTACATCAGTGTCAATTACGGGATAAGCAAGGTGTGAGAGCATTGTTTCTGGTTTGTGGGACTGTCCGAGAGCTCGTCTTTGGGGACTGTTGGGGATTAGACAACACTATATTTGCTGCTGCAAGTGTTTGTCGGTACGAACACATATTTATTCTATTTATGTATTGTATATGCATTTCTAACTTTAACAGATGGGTCATCTGATAAATTTGAAATTGATGTATGAAATTGTTAATGAGTGCATGTAGAAATGGAAAACTTGCTGAATGGATAAGGAAATTTTCATCTTTAACAATTGAATGACCAACTTTTTTGGCGAGAATTTATCTGTTTGCAAACATAGAAGATAGGTGCATATTTTTAAAAGGATTTGTACCCAAGCTTCAGAAGAGACTTCCATAGTCCTTTGCTTATTAAAATTCTGTGTTATTAATCTCTCAGAGAAAAAGGAGGTAACTAACAATGTTGCGATGAGATAAATTACAACAACAACAAACCCAACGTAATATCACAAATGGGATCAGGGAGGGTAGAGTGTACGCATACCTTATCCCTACCTTGAGAAGGTAGAGAGGCTGCTTCTGGTAGACCCTTGGTGGGGTCTGAGAGGTAGATAAATTATCATCATTAAATGCACAAAGTGTTCCAAAATCAGTTTGACACCTAAAATTTCTTTCTATAATATCTAATATTAATAATTTGGCTGCTTTTCTTTAAAGAAAAAAACCAACTGCAGTCAAATTCGTCTTTTATGGCTAATTTGATGCAGTGCATTTCTTTTTTCAACAGAAGATTGCATCTAGCTCGTCCATGAACTCTATAAGTAGAAAACATAATAATTGTGCTGACACTTCCAAGATTAATGGGAACTTTTTTCTTTTTAGGAGCTTGAGAAATCTCTCTTTGGAAGGATGCTCGTTGCTCACGACGGAAGGATTAGATTCGGTAGTTCAGTCATGGAAAGAGCTTGAAAGGCTTAAGGTAGTCTCATGTAACAATATAAAGGATAGTGAAATAACACCAGAACTAGCAACTTTATTTTCTGTTCTCAAAGAGCTAAAGTGGAGGCCAGATTCTCGATCTTTTCTATCATCAGGTCTTGAAGGGACTGGTATTGGCCAGAAAGGTGGTAGATCGTTGCGGAGGAAGTAGAGTGTGAACTGGTAAAGATGTCAATGTAAATGCAGTTCACCATGAAGGTGAAAGTCTGTCCTCACTCACTCCAGACAGTCCAGAAAATATTGGGCAGAGTGTTGTTGCCTCTAGTGTTGGCACTGATATTGCATCTGCGATTGAAAGTATTCAACCAGAAAAAGAAGCTTCTGGTACTTCTGAGCCAATTGTTGTGGAAGCGAGCTCCGGTGTGAAAGAAAGCAATGTTGCAGAACCCAGTAATAATTTAAGACCTATACCAGTTCCTCAGGAAGATGCAGTCTCAAAGGATTCAGACTTGGAAAAACCTTTGATTTCCAAGAATTTAGTTCAGCTGCAGAACTGGAGGTATGCATAATCTCTGATATAGTATAGTTGATTTCCTTTGCTTAGTATATGTGTGTTGTTCAATACATATCATTAAAGCCTTTCTCTGCTTGCTGTAACAATTTGTTCTCAACTGGTTGTAAATCAAATTGAAAATTACAGTGCTCAACTTTTCTGTTTGGCTAATTCTACAACTTGTTATAACCCCCAACCCCGCCCCACCCCCTGCGCGTGCCCCTTTCTGTTTTGGATAGCTCAAAAGTTGCCAATGACCGTGCAATTCGGTGATTGTTACTTGTTTACATGGCCTTTTCTGTGAGGTCAATATCAGTTTATAAATAATTTTTTTTGGGGGGTGTGGCCCTAGTGGCTAAGTAAGAGAGTCCCAACACTTCTATATCCTGCTGGCTGCACTCCAGATAAACTTAAACTGTTGACATTGAAATCCTTGAGAGGGTTAATAAACACCCATCTGTCATGGCCCATACTTTGTTTTAAATCATCTTTTAGCTAATGTCCGAGTTTAATTTGTTATTTTCTTCTGTTACTTTGCATAGCTGATGCACTGCTGCTTTTCTAATTTGTGTTTTTAGTGTTGCCTTCAGTGATATTGCTTCAGTGACTAGTAAAACTCCTTTATGGCTTCAATGGGATGTTAACAAAGTTGCTGGAAAATGATTCTTGGGAGAATTGCAGTAAAAAAAGAAAAAAAAGAAAGCAGGGAAGTCATTTTCTAGTATTGTTTGAAAGAAATTGGAGTTTAAATGAGAAGTGGAACAAGACCCTTTTTTCCCCTTACATTTGCAGGACTTTGGTGGAAATTTTTTCTGGGTGAAGTTTTTAAGTGCATTTCCATCAACTTTATTTTTTTACTAAATGCATCAAAAAGTGTGAATAATTAACTTTCTGATACTTGGGTTTCCTTTCCACACAATCAAATGGTACCTATGTGTCCTTGCTGCGAGTAAACCATGTTTTAGGGGGAAAAGGATGTGTGTCTTCTGTTTATTGGTCTTCCCTTCTTGTTGGAACTGTGGCCTTCGGGCATTGCTTGGTTCATCTGCCACTGCTAAGTTTGTACTCTTCGTCACAGATAACAGTATGGAAGTTTGACATGAATACTTTAATATATGTGCTATATTAAATTGGGACTATATACTACTATGATTTTGGCGTTGATATTGTTGTCTGGTCTCTATGTTTTCCTCGTCACCAGTAAGCTTTTGTTACTGTTCATTGGTGAATGCAGTAGTGTTGTCACCAATAATTCCTAACTGTATGTACTTTGATTTGGTTGTGTTAGGTCCTTGCCATGGAGAGGTTAAAGTTAGAACTTCAAGTGCGTGGGTTGAAGTGTGGATGCACTCTGCCAAGAGCGTGCATCCAGGCTTTTCTTGCTCAAAACCACACCTTTGGAGATGCTTCCAAAGAAGTTGCTTGCTAAGAAGTAATTTTGTGCTCGTTTGTTTTGCTATTGTAGCTAGTTGTAATCGTAACCTCATTTTTTAAGTGTCAGCTTATTCTCTATTTGACTTGGTACCCGTTTGGATTGGCTTATTTTAGGTGCTTTTAAGCCAAAATAGCTTTTAAGCAGTTTTGAAGTATTTGGGCAAAGTTAAAAAGTGCTTATAAGCACTTATTTTCAAGTCAAAATAACAAAAATAAGCCAAAAGTCACAAGTTAGAAATCCTAGCTTATGGCTTTTGGCTTTTAAGTCATAAGCCAATCCAAACAGGCCCTAACTTATGTAGATATGCGTATGTATTTTTCAATAAATTTCAACTACTTACAAGGACAAACAGCAGTAATTCACTTTTTAGAATAATAAACGAATGTTGATTTGGTTCCGATATTTCTGAATTTTATGTTGTATCACCATGATTTGCTTGATTCATCTTTTCTAAACGGAAACCAACAAGTAATGGTTTTTGAAATGAACCAAACCAAGAATCTTGAGATCTTACATTTCCCTTTCGATCGTCTTTAGTTATATACACAATCATGTTAAGATTTAGGCAATAATTCAAAACAGGTATAATCTATTGTGCATAAAGTCACTGAAGATACTATAAAGCACCTGGTGAAGTTCATGAATGGAGAGAATTTCTGCAAACAGGGCAACTGCTATTTATCTTCAACCACTTATCAACACATTCAACATGGAAGCAATGTTCACATTCAGGTATGCATCTCAGTGTTTCTCCTGCAATATACTCACCCAAGCATATTGCGCAAATCATAACGTTTATTCCCGATATTCGCTGGCTTTCACCAAGAACCACTTTGGGATAGGACTGAATCGTGGATTCATCAAGCCCTTCTATCACAATCATTGGCATTGGTGCTAAGCTCGGCAAAGAGGCTGTAGCAGCAGCCACTTGGCGGCGGTGGTTTAGTTCGAGAAAAACTCGGCATGAAACGCAGATTAAACAAAGGATGGATGGTAAAATGAGGGACACACCCACGAAAATGATCAACATTATTTCTTTACGTGAAGTCCCACCTGTCAATTCAAGCAACTTATCATATACGTTGTAAAATCAATAATTAGCTATATAATATAATTCAATATCAACTACTACTATATAAAATTATTTATATGTGTGTAGAAAATCAAAAATAAAAGAGTGAAGCACAAACGTTAGACTTTTAACCTTAGGACTTTCCGTCTAATTGACATTTCGTATACGTAATATCGCAAATGCGTAGGTGTGATAGCTACACAAGGTCGGCACATCAAAATCTGATCATTTTCAAGGTAATTGTAGGTAAATTCATACAAGGAAAAAGGGTATAATATACCCTCAACTTTACTATTTAGAGCTGATATACCTTGTTACGAAAGTGGATCATATATACCCCTACTATTACACAAATGGCTCATAAGCATCGATTAGCAAGTAGTGTTGCTACAATATTTCTACTCAATTCATTCAATAAACAATCAATAGTGATTAGACTTGGAAAAAATCCACAAAATTCACCTGTTCTTGGAGTTGGAGCATTGGAATTGCTGGCTTCTGTGCTTGTCTTGTTACTATCAAGATGAACATCCCATGATAGTCGAACATCTCCATGAAAATGAGATAACAAGGAGAAGGTATAATTCTGTGAAGAAGCCGAAAACGGAGAAGAAAAAAGGTTTAAATGTAGAAGCTTTCTTGAAAGAAAAATAGAGGGATTTTGGAGTTTTAGTTCTTTAGTGGAATAGTTGATTTCTTGCACAATATAATCTCCTGAAAATGGAATATTGAGTAGTGTATTGCCTTGATCAGTACACCTTAGGGAAAAGTTTGGATTTTGTTGAGTGTTTTGGGATTGTAATATGAAAGGGTATTGAATGGTGAGATTCCCACAAATGGAAATGTTTGAAGAGAAATTTTGAGTGTTACCAAGGAAACAATGATGAGAAAAAAGAAAGAAGAAGAGACTCATAATGCTCATAGGTCTCATCTCTGGAGATTTTGACTTTTTTGTTTAGAGAATTTTTTTAAGGAAGTTAACTAGACACTAATGATTAATTAATTTAACATAGTTTATATCTCTTTTATTGTCATATTTATAAATGTTTGGTCTTCTCAAGCAAAACAAGACACAAAGACTTGGACCAAAGTTTATTTTACATTTATGTGATAAATTATGTAATTAACTTTCCTCTCTCTGTCAAGCCCTAAAAATACTAACTCAAACTAAATAGATTGGTAAACAACAAAATCTTGTACTCATAAAAAGTCCAATTTTTGTATATTAGGAATTTGTAAGCTTTGTATCTTCAAACAAGATAGTACTTTTTTTCATCTAATAATTGCTTCCATATAGCCCTTTTATGGATTGAGAAAGTGGGGAAAGAAGAACATACGTGCAAAGCATAATTAAAATGCTTTGCCTCTTTAATTAGCTATAAATTGTCGTTAATTAATTAACCATTGAGTTATATCCTTTCCCTTCCCTGCACCACAAATAGAACTGGTTAAATCTAAGTCAAGACGGTTGATAACAACACCACTTTTCATATTGAGCAAGTCAATGGTAATTAATATATCTTGTAGACGTATTTAATTATTCCACAACACTATTACACCTTGAAAACAAACATGAACATTAGATTAGAGTTGAAGAAACTAAACCTAATATGAATGCTTGGAAGTCTAAAGAATCGACATCTATCAATAAGACTTGCTTTTGATAGTGTTGTTTTTATCTATTATTATCTAAAAAATCAAATTATTAATCATTGAACGAAACCAAGAGAAAGGAGGGGGGAGGGGTGGAGAAAGGAATAAAAAACAAAAGATACTTTATATGGATCACAACTACATTGGAGAAAAAGTCAATAACTACCCTAATTCTGGTAGCCTCTATTGTCTATGAATCAATGGTAGAATCAAGAGTGTCACTCCTCACGACTTGGTCAAAAGACTTTATATTAACACTACTCCTATGTTTAGGACAATACTACTTGAAAATTATAATCAATTTGAGCGAGGATAAAAAAACTTTCAAATCTCATCGATCCGATCCAATCCAATCCAAATTTGTTTACAAGTCAAATTATGACAATATATGAACATGAGAAATCATAACAACTCAGTTGGTCAGTTACATGAACTTCCACTTTGTTCGTGATAGTTCGATTCCCCCCACCTGAAAAAATATAGACAATAGGTGGACATGATTTTGTAACAAAGGGAAATCTTTATAAACATCAAGCTACAAATTAGGCAATTTAGAGAAAAGGAGACACTTTCGACAAACAGGACAAGTAGTATTCAACTTCAACCACTTATCAACACAATCAATATGGAAGCAATGTTGACATCCCGGCATACACTTTGCTATTTCTCCGGCATTGTACTCCGCCAGGCATATCGGGCAACTCGATTCGTTCTTATCAACAACAATTTTTCTGTACGATTGAATCGTAGACTCATCAAGACCAACCACACGGCTAGCCCCTGCTTCCGCGTCTGATTCACCGCCGTTGTCTGGATATTGGCGGTGAATGCCTGCGACGCGGAAGCGAAATGCTATACAGATTACTAAAAAGGTGGATGGGATAACAAAACATATGGTAACTATTAGGACGAAAATGATTAAGTGACGATTTGCCATGATTCTGGAATCTGGAATCAACTAAATGCAGGCTGCTTATATATATTAGATTCTAATGAATTTTGTTAATTTATTATGACATGTATTATTTTAAAGTCAACTCTGTATACGTATGATCATGTACTAGTTGATAATTTTTTTTGTTAATGATGTTTGACGTTATTATAATTAATATGATCCAATTGAATCTTTTTTATTCTTGTATGATGCGTATTCTAACTTATATAATAAATTGAAAAGTCGATTATATCCCTGACACATTTTTATTTAGGGTGTGTGGCATGGAATAAAAATACTCTGAATTTCTTTTTTAAAGAGCAGGAAGAATAAGTTTCATAAGTAACATTTTAAGGGATCTGTTTGGATGGATTTATGAAAAATAGCTTATAAGTTGGTGCTTAAAGGCACTTTATAACCTTTCCAAATACCTCCAAAACTAAAAACTATTTAAAAATCAAAAGCACCTAAAAATAAGTTGATCCAAACGGGCAAGACTACTTATCCCCATAATATTTCCAACAACATACCCGTAATGTTTTCCTATATTACAAATAAATATTCTTGGAATAAGATTTTCTTTGTTGAAGTACTTACCACCAAACACCCGAAAGTAAATAAGAAATGAAAATATTTTTCGTTATACCAAATGCACCCTTAAGCCTTTGAGGTTTGACAATTATAGAGAACTAATTCGTCTGCCTTTTTCCATTTTTTTGTTTTAATTTGATGGAACTATTTAGCTACAGTTAATTAGTATGAAGAAAAATAGGTATCGAAACACAGAGTTTTCATAAAGAATAAAGAAATTTTAATTAACACATAATGGAAAATTAGTTTGTTCGTAGATTACAATTAATTTAAGAAAGCATGTATGTTTATCTAATATCCGAAATCATAATAAGGATCTCTCTGTAGTATAATACAAACCAATAAATAATTTATTTCAGTAATCATAATTGGTAACCGTATAAATACTAATCAAAGGTACGGAAGGTTAAAATGGACAATTGGTAATTTTGCTAATATATAAAAAAAGAATTCCAATGGACCGGTGCGCATCTCCAAAAGCCCTTCAATAAAACTCGATTTGTTTAATGTAAGAACTCGGCTATTTCGATTAATGAAAAGGTTACGTTCTTAATTAGTATTTGATCATAAATTTTTGTTCGAATAGAGTTTAAATATCTATTAAATGATGATATTTGACCAAATATTTAAAATTTTAATTTTCAAAAATTGGCTCAAACCAAATTTTATGTTTTTTGAGACTTTCACATACAAAATTTTAAATTTTTTCCAAATAAATTGCATATCTAAATACCACTTTAAATTTCAAAAATCACAACTTGAGGAATAAAAAACTAAATTCTACTAATGTATGTCGTCGTCAGTTACACGGGCAAGAAAGTTTCATCATTTGAACTTGAGGAATAAGCTTCATCACCAAACTTTGACGTATTAAAAAAAGAAAAGGTAATCAATTAATATGTTCTAATCTTCATTTTATTTTGTTTGTCTTATTTATTTTCTTTTCACTGTTTTTTTTTTTAAATAGCTTATTCCTTTTCGGTAATTTTTTAATTATAATTTTTCACGTGACATGTTTAAAATCACAAAATTAAAAGATAATTTAACACATTCTATTATATTTTAGTTTAAGACCATAAGATTCAAACGTTTCTTTATTTTCTTAAACACATGCATAAGTTATTTAAGAATTTATCTACTATCTTTGTTTCAATCTCTGTGTCCTAGCTATTTACTATTTGGAGAATTAAAATATAGTATTATTTTTTACCATGAATTTTTAAAATACTTTTGTGACGTATAAGACGATTTGTGAATTTATAAATATGTAAATTTTATTTCAAAATAGTTAAAAGTACTATATCCGATTTTACAAACAAAAAAAAAAGTTAATTAAACTCTTGTAATTCAAATCAGATAACATAAGTTGAAATGGATAGTATTATTTTTTTAAATGCCAAATAGAATATAGAATAAGAATATAAATTTAACCAAAAAAAAAGAGAATATAAATACTAAAATTGCAAACTTCTATGTCAGAATGTCAACCAAAGAACTAGGAGTTACTATTAAGGGTTGACGATAGAGTTTACTATTTCATATAACAAATTCATGCATCCTTTCCGGCGATTTATTATTCTCTCCATCTCAATTTATATGATATTTTTTAAATTTCGCGATTCAAGTCTTTTTTAAAAAAATTAATTTCTTTTATATATTTTTTTATCTTAAATTATCAATTGTTCTGACTTATAATACTTTTTACGTATAGTTTTCAAATTAATGTGTAAATTTTATTTCAAAAAAACTTCAAGATTTCTAATTGAATTCACGATCAAAATTAAATTGTTTGACTCTTAAATCTAAGGTTACCTCATAAATTGAAACAAAAAAAGTACATTTAACTCCTGACTTTTTTATTTTATCATCTCACGAGAAATTCATATAAAACGTAAAAGATATTAAAACTAAAAGTTAAGTATACAAAGAATATGTAAATAGTTGTTATTAACGAGAATCAAACCCTTGACTTCCCTGAGTTCCCCTAAAGACAAAATCACAAAACCTTCAAACTAGCCACCGAACCAAAGCATCCATTAAGAGATTTGTTCATTGGGTGTTGAACGTTTAATATAGTCAATTTTTGAAGAAATTACTATATATATAAAAATAATTTTACATCGAGGTTAATGGGTGCTCAACCACCTAAAAAGGGTGTATGTGGGTCCGCCCCTGCATTTAAGGCGCGTCAATGATAAAAACAACGTTATAGTCAAGTTGTTTCTCTAACATTTAGTATAGTAGTATTTCCTTTCCCTTTGACATACCATCTACTTATGACTTTTAACTTATAAATTACTTTTTATAAGTTATCCTATATATATATGTGATGGAATAACTTATATGATGATAACTTATCCCACAATTAATTATCCCACGATAACTTGTTCTCTATTTATGGAAGTGTCTTTATGTATAAATCCAATAAATTATCTCTTCCCTCTTGTATGAGATAACATCTCTTCATTTCCAACAAAAACCCAACATATTTGTCTAACAAATTAAATGCTTAAAAATGATCCAACAATGGAGGCAGAACAGATGGGAATTGTTCCAACAACACAGTGGGAGAAGATGGAGGAAAAGAGTAGTGGGTACTCACCAAGGACGGATAGAGATGAGAACAAATTAGGAAAGTTAGTTTTTGTTATTATTGGGCCTTTGGGCCATTTTATTTGTATGGACTTCTGTTTTTTCCAATAAAAGGCTCCAAGCCAAAAAGTTCATTTTAAAAAAAATAAAATAAAATAAAATTAGGGTATAATTCCATAATATTGAACTTTCAAGAAGTAAATAAAAGACTTCAATAAAAATTCTTGAGATACTTCAATTTTAAACCATATATAAGTACTACGTAAGGGTAACATCCGAGCAAGGAGAACTAGCCAAATTTTTTCACAAGCGAATAAATAAGCCTATGATCTTAACAAACATTATGTACAAGTTTGAATTGAGAGGTACAATATTAGTTTCAATACATATCATATACAGACAAAACCCTCTTATCACATGTGGGGAAAAAAATGTGTTATGAATAATTAACATGAACAGGAGAAGGATTATTTCTACAAACAGGACAAGTGCCATTAATCTTTAACCATTCATCAATGCATTCAGCATGAAAACAATGTTCACATTCAGGTATGCATCTCACCGTCTCTTTTGGATGGTACTCTGACAAACATATTGGACAAATTCCATGATTTGGCCCTGGAATTCTCCGACTTTCTCCTAGGACAACTTTTGTGTACGATTCGATCGTCGAATCGTCCAGGCCAATAGACGTTTCCGGTTGTGGTACTACGGCTGCTCCGCCTGCAGTAGTGTTCTGGAGAGCAGCCGCGGAGCGGCGGCTGTCTCGGATTTGCTCAAAGCAAATGTAACATGTCACACCCAATGAACATGTGATGGCTGGTATCACTAAGGCTAGTGCAACAATTCGGAAAATTTGTATACCTTTTGTATTGCCTGTAAGTAAAAATTAATTATGGTTATGTTAAGGCAAAAGAATGTTAATTCTGAATTTATTAATTTCATTAAGGTGATAGAATAACATACGCCATCTTCTACACGATCTAAGCCTATTATAAAGTTGGTGCATTTAAATATAAATGTCCTAATTATTCCTCCATTAAGTTTGACATTGGATTACTATATAAGAAGGGACAACTTGACATTTCAAATTGAACTTACCCCAAAACCTCAAAGTCTCTACCTCAGCTATCTTTTTCCTTTTGCTTATAATTTCTGCCCCAA